ATGTGTGTGGCAGCTGGTACTCAGGGCCACACCTCCTCACCCTACTTGGGCAAAGCAGTCCTAACGGGAGAAAACCACACTTTTTTCTTTGTCCCCATGTGTTGCCTGATCTATTTGCGAGGCATCCCTGCCCATGACAGGGAGGTTGGATTAAATGATCTCTAAGGTCCCTTCCAGCCTCGGCCATTCTGTGATTCTATGATTCTTTTCTCCAAGGCAGATCTCCCAGCCCAGGGGCATTTTCAGTGAGGTTTTGGTGGAAGACTTGGGAAGAAACATGCAGGAACCCCTCCACTCCTTCAGCTGCTGTCTGGGGTCTGCCCTGGTTTGCCATGGGAACATCGGCAAGGTTGAGGGCTCCTAATAGCAGTCAGGCTGGGAAATGCTAAATGATGGCTTATGTGAGCTGGTGTTTGGAGCTAGAACTTGGAGCCAGCTCTGAAATTCAGCTTTAATAATCAGACGCTCTCCCCATGGCTCTCTGTGAAGTGCTGTATACACGTGCACACAGACACACACACACACACACATGTAAATATATACATATTTGGCTGCATAGTTTCAGGTCACCTACTCCTTTCATCCCTTCATCTTGCAGAAACAGTGACTTGGGGCTTGGCCGTCTGTGGGGAATTCATGCATTCACCTTCCTCTCCTGAGCTGATCTGTGGAATATTTATATTCCAGGGAAGCAGAAGGCTAAATTCAGCATTATCACAATCTGGCTATTGAGGTCCGAGTCAAGCACTACAAGGCATGAGGCAAATGTTCATCAGCCTTCAGACTGTGTTTGGAGTGGCTGCAAGGCTCCAGAACCTTAGGACATTGGTCAGCTTTCCAGAAGAAGGTGGTAAGGAGGAAACCTGAGCACACCACCAGTGTCACTGTGGAAATTCACGTCACAAGGATCTGCCCATGAGAAATACTGTCCTCAGAGTGCAGTGGGGAACTTGGCTCCTGTACTAGCACCATGCAAGCCTTTGGATGACATTTTCTCCTTGCTCCTCCTCTGAGAACACAGCCCTGCCTCCCACAGCACTGCGCCCCCAGGCCTGAGTACAAGGTCAGAAAGTTTCCAAGAATCAACCTCTGTCACTGCGTGTTGATGCTCCTGGGTGCAGCTGACTTCTCTTTACGTCAACTTTTCCATAATCATCCCACTTTACCATGCTTATGCTACAGAACGGGTATGATACAATCCCCCTCCCCTTCTTGCATTGTTAAAGATTGAGAAATTAAGTCCAACATAACCAGGAAATGTAAAAGTTAAGATTCTTCCATCTGAGTGGCAGGAAGCTCCAAGTTTTACAGAACACATTAAATGGCTTAAAGGGCATTGCACTACAGGTTTTGCAAGGCAAAGCAGGAGGAGCGAAGCAATGGGAAGAATAGTGCGACTGGAGGCTCAGCCCTTGACACGTCTTGCTCCTACTGCTTGCAAAAGATGGTGTTTCCCTCGACTTTTCTTTTCTCCTTCATTTCTGCACCACCCCCCCCCCCCATCCCAAGCCCTCTCAGGATTACTCCACCCCACTGCACCAGGTCCAAACGCTTCCCCTTGGCCACAGATCTTCCCCCCTGGTCATGCCTATGGATCACTGGTACTCAAAATCTTCATGCCCAGTTGGCCCTGCTCCGCTCACCCTGCTCTGCATCTCCTACAGGCACCTCTGAGATTACACCTGATTTAGAGGATGTGGTTCCTTACCTAAAGGGGCTACAGGAGGAACGTGTCACATAAGGACATTTACACTCTCATTTACTCTGTGTCTTTTGGAGAGGGCTGAAAAATGCCAAGTATCACGCACTTTGACCATCTAATACCTGGTTTTGTGGCCCTGCAATGCGTGGGCTTTCTTCCCACAGCCCTGCAGGCTTGGTCTGTGTCATCTCTCATGGGAACTGGTGAGGGAATCTCACTGGGTTTCAAGGCTATTTCGAAACCTAATTGGGAATCTGGCCAGAGTGGCTCTGACTTGCTTCCAGCCTGCCTGCCCAGGTTTCCTTCCCAGGAAGGGGAGATTGGGGGGGCTGGTGAACAGCCAGATCTTGCTCTGATCCTGGGGCTGCTTTCTCCAGCTACATGCTAGTGTTGGAGTGTTTGAGGCATGATGGGCGTTTCACATCTACCTGCCCCTTCATCAGCATGGAAAACAGAGCTGCTCTGACTCTGTACCTGCCAGAGCTGACTCGTGAACATTAGCTGCAGGTCAATGCAGGGGAAACATAAAGTCATTCATCTGGCTTCCCTTTCTAGATTTGCTGCCCTCCTAAAATACCAGAGCCAAATTCTCTTCAAGAACAGAGATGCTCCACTGGGATCTATTGCAGAAATGACAGGACTCTGGGTAGGTGTCAGGTGTGGTTGTGCAAAGGCAGGCTACACAGTGCCGAGATCAGCAGGGAGCAGTGGGTGCCATTTCTCTTGAAGTTTTGGTCACGTTTGATAAAAATAGAAGTTTCCTTGTCTAGCTGAATGTGAGAAGAAACATTTTCCTTAGGGGAACAGAGGCTTCTGCACCTAAAACCTCCAAAGCTTTTCTGAAAAGCCCAAAACGATTCTTTTCCTCTCAACTTCTACATTTCTTCAACTACTGTGCCTGGCTTATAATCAGCATCTGGCCACAAATACTCATTTTAGGAACCCTGGAGAAGTTTCTTTCTTCACCAGCTTCTCTTACCATCCTGCTGCCTTCCAGGAGGTAACGCCCACGGGGTAACTGAGAGCACGGTTTGGCCTCCACAAGCCGAGAAAACGTGCTAAGTGCTGTCAACAGAATGTAATCATAATTCGAGTTAAAGGGTATGTGTGGAGATTGTAATAGTCTCCACATGCACAGGAGCTGAGAGGTGGTAGGTAGATGCAAGTCTAGCAGCTTGGCTGGACTGTTACAGCCAAGTGCTTGGGTTTTTTTTGCCACAAAGTTTGGCCAGCTTTGGTCCTTGGGGCAGATGAGTGCTGGAGATAAATATGAGGGAGGCGGCTCCACTTGAGGAACAACATGTTCCTTGAAGATCGGTGACTTGAAATACTTGCTGGCCTCGAGGTGAGAACCAGATGCTCAGACCAAAAGGAGCAAAAGGCATTTCACTCATTTCTGAGGACACTCCAGTATGGTCATATGTTGAGGAGAGCCTGGAGATCCTGCCCCCAGCACTGTCCTTGCAGCTGCAAGCAGCTCATGGAGGATGGGGGCTGTGGGTTACCCACTTGCACAAGTCCATCCAAGCCTGGACACAGCGCTCAGGCAGAGCCCTGCTCCAAGGGGACAACTTCTGGAGGTCCAGTACTTCCAGGGCTGCCTGGTCAGCAGGGACAGGACCTCCACTTCTGCAACCCTGCAGAGAGCCACACAGTGCTCATGTCCCTGCGGGGACTGAGAGCAAGCGAGGGAGATGCTGAGCTCCTCTGAATGCTGGGTGACACCTCAGAGGGGCAACAAAAGACAAAGAAAATGCTTGAACAGGAGCAGAGGGGAAGAGAGGGAAAATGAGCTTTCAGCACAGGTATCTACGGAAACTGAATTATCTCCCAGGTCAATGGAAGCCCTTTAGTATTTCCCACAGTAAATAAGGGACCAGTTTCTTCTCCTGCAGCTCCATCCTTCTTGGGAGGGGCAGCAGGGTGGTTTTACCCACCTTGGCTGCAGAGTAAGGTGGTTCTGATGTAGGCTGCGATGACGCTGCGTGGTCTGCTTGGGTTAAAGCCCAAACACAGTTTTCTTCCACCAGCAAGTCCTCCACTCCTTCCTGCAACTTGCCTGCCTTTGTGCTGCCTGGATGCCATGACTCTGCCCTCATGTATTTGCCTGGGCCCACCAGAAATGACTGGGGAGAAAGCCAAGCTGGCACAGTGACAGTAGAGACCCTTGGGTCACCAGAGGAGATCATCCAGCAACCTCCCTTCCCACATCAACCCTGGCACGGTTCAACCTCTCCCCAGCTGAGCCCATCTGGGTGGCCCCGGGATGTGCCAGCCTTAAAGTAAGAGACAATATGTGTCATGGTCCTGCCCCTGAGGAGCGTGTCAAGGGACCGAGGGCTTGTCTGATGCTTCCACTCTCACCCGATTGCTGTTGCTGTCACCGTGCTGGGCACAGACAGACCCTGAGTGGCACTTGAATGCTGGGAAGTGTCACCTCTTTTTGCTGTGACCCAGACCCCCCTGCTTTGCCCTGGCAAGGAGCCAGGGGCCTGACTCTGACCCCAACACTTGCATGGAGGGACACGTTTCTACAGAACTGGAGGCAACAGGCACCTCTCCCAGTCTTTCAGAGCTTTGATTTGTTTACTGCTTGTTTGTGTTTCCTCCTAGGCCAGAGCATGGCACATGGGACCCAAGCAATTCATATTGCTGTCAAAGGCGCAGTGTGAGCAAGGCAAGGCCGTCAGATTTATGCTTCTGAGTTCAGGGTGACTTGTCTACTGCTGATGAAGATGTGTCCTGGAGGAGAGTTTCCCATCTCCCCCTGAGGTTTCCTGACACATTGCCTCCCCAGCCATGCCAAGAACATGGTGCGGGATGAAGTCTGATGTCTATGGGTGATGCCAGGAAACATGAGACCATCTCGAAGAGAGATATTCCACAGATCCCCCAGGATTTTACCAGTCTTGAACTCAAAGCCAGACCCTCATTTTGGTGGAGTTAGGTGTTTAGGAGGCTTTGGGACCATGTGCATATGATGAGAAGGTGGGGATGCTCCCTGAGCAGGGCATGCATGCAAACTCTCTGGATTGCACCAGGACTAGACTTGTATTCAGGACCTCAGAACCCCCTCCCAACCCCTCTACCCACATGTGCAGCTGCACCACAGCCAGAACAACTTGTACAGACTCAGGAAGAAAGTCTGGTCTGCCACGACTCCAGGAAGCATCGTGCCCTGGGTTAGTGCCCTCAGAATGTGGTGACAAGTGAATGTGCAGTGGAGCTGACCCAGAGACGCCAGACCTTTCCTGCACACACTAACATTTTTGGAAAGAGGAGAAAATAGATGACTCACAGGGTTTCCAAGTTGTGCAGCCCATCAAACCCGTTGGCTCCCAGGCTTTGGATCCGGTTGTTGTGCAGGTGCCTGTGGGCAAAACAGAGATGGTCAGTGGAGGTGCAAGCTGAGCCACGGCACAGGGACATCCAGCAAGCTGAGCTCAGCCTGGGCTGGGACAATGAGTGGCGTTGTGGGGTCTCTCTTGCCCCGTGAGAAACAAGCTAGGTGCAGTAATGCAGAGCAGCTACTGAGCTCCCATTTCTCCCAGGAAAGCCAGGCTGACACAGGAGTTTCCCCAAGATCTCCACTTTTACAGCTGCCAGGTGACTTTGGATGAACATGCTTAAGCAAGAAGTGTAAAGGAACACCCTAGATCTCACCTTACACTGGGCCCAACCCTACAAAGTGCTGTGCGGCTTCAAAAGCTGTGCATGGGCGCTGAGTGCTACTTAAGGACACAGTCGTATTTGGACTCTTCAGAGCCTTAGCAGCAGCTAGAAGGCTTGGAGTTCAAAATCATCCTGTTAGTCACAGTTTATTATCTTGCAAAAAAATCGAAAATGCTGCCAGTTCCTGGATTAGTTCCACAATGATTGCAGTGAAAGTTGACTTCAGTTTAATGCTTCAGAGTGTCTGGCTGAGGTGCGGGGGCCATGCGACAGGCTGATGCACATTCTCTACACTAAGGTAGCATTTTTTCCCCTGCGTCCCTTCATCCTGATGCTACCTGCCAGGAACACCTAGTGCTTAAGGGCTCTGGACCTCCCAGCCTTAATGCTGGTGCTGGAGAGCCATGTGCTGGGGGGCCCTGGCTTGCAATGTCACCTGGGGTATTTTTGCCTTGGAAGCTCCCCAGGTGATGAGTTTCTCTGGAATCCCATCTGCTGAGTTCTCTGCTTCTATGGGATCCTTACTCCCATGTTTCAGATTTTTGGCAAACTCAAGACCTTAATTCCCGGATTCTTCCACTCTGATTGTCAGGCTGTGTATGTGTGTGCACATCTGAACGTTTTTGCCATCTGGCTTCCTTTACAGCTGGTGGGAGCCACATGGCTCATTGCGCATTTCTATCTGAAATCCCACTCAAGGGCACCTTGAAGTCTTTACAGAGAGACCTGGGAGCAATCTGAGGAAAGTCTACTGAGAAACGGAAGACAACACGCTGCTGCCCAGCCTCTGCTTAAGCACATCATTGATGTCCATCCTTGCACTAGGGTGGTCTATGAGGAGAAATGTCCACCCAGGTGGTAAGGTCCTCTGGCGCAGGACACCCTCTTTGCTCTCTGTCAGAGGAGGTTTCCTCATTAGTTCATTTTACTCTTTTCACACAGTACCACGTGGTTAATCCGCTGCCACACCACTTGCCTTTGGGGTCCTTTTCTCCCTTGCCCACGCTCAGGGACGCACCAGCCTTTGTCCAACACTGCTGCCTCCTTCCAAGAGCCTGGGGGAGACTCCACATTGGCAGGTGGATCAATGGCTTTTTCGTTATTTGCTGCTTGATCTAAATCTGTCTCAGCTTGAAAAATCTCTCACTCCACCTGGATTCAAGCGTGAGCTGTTTGGCTGAGCACCGGCAGCTCCCGCTGCCAAATATTCTGGGGTAAAACAGGAGGGAGCTGGGAGCGGAGGAACAGCCAGGCTCTAGGGCAGTTCGGTAGGGGCTTGCAAAACAGAAACCAGCCCAAGATGGATGTTTGCTGTTGGGATGAGAACATGCAAACATTTCAGAGGAAGGGGAAGGGAGGGGGAAGATGTGTGATAAAATGTGTTTTCTCTCTTGGGCAAATGGCAAAAAAGGAAGTTGCCTCCAAGAAAATTTGGTTTAAATGTGACTCTCAGAGGAGAAAAGAAGCTGAGATCAAACCCCGAATCTTGCAGGAGACATTTCTTCTCATGACAAGATAAGAAGTTCAAGTCCAGGTGGTTTCCTCTATCAGATGTTACGGGGTAGCTTCAGATCACATTTCCCTTACTTCACTTGGCACTTCCAGTGCCAGACGGTGCCAGGAATTTTGGGTCCCTTTGAGCACTGGGCACCGCATTTGGCAAAGAGAAGGTTTAGATCTGGAGTTTCTCCGTCCGTAATTGCAGCAGGAGGTGCCACAGGAACCCTCTGCCCCATACCTCTGCCTCCTGAGAGGGGGTAGCATGGGGAGAACCAACGTGCTGAGTGCTGTGAAGATGTGAACTCCTTGGAGGTTTATTGGGGTGGTGCAACAGGACATCTCGTCTTGGACATGCGGAGCAGCTGCCTGCTATCCCTCAAGTCAGGCAAGGAGACAGAACAGAAAAGCAGTCACCTGCTGTGTTTATATTTGGCTCTAAAGTGCTTTGTTTGGAGGCAGAGTAATGAAAATCATCAGAAGGATGCTCTTTGTTGGTGAGAAAATTATGAGCAACCAAAAAGGAAAGTTATAAAAAAATTTGCTGTCCAAGCTGAACTCTAGACTAGTTTTTACTCAACCACACGGCAATAATAGAAACAAGAGAGCTGAAAAGGTAAACACTTGAAAAGACATTCCTTTCTTCTATCCTGCCTTATTTTTTTCTCCCCGAGTAAACAATTTTTAACAAGTGGAATTGCAACATCTCCTGTGTTTGTCAATTTGAGCTTGGCCCACATGACGATATATTCTGCTCTGTAAATTACAGCTGGTTTGATAGCAGCTCAAGATACTTGGTTCTGGGCTATAAAAAAGTCCTCTTGGGATGCAAAGCCATGAGAACTCTTTAAGCCCTTGCTATTGGAGCTAGTGTCCACCACTGTCCTCAGTAGGATCAACGAGTTTTGAGATCTGTGGATCTCCCTTTCCAGGTCAGCATCACAGAGTGGGGCTGCTTTGGGGCAGTGAGCTGTGAGAGCAGCTTTGCTCAGGAGGGAGCACAACAGTCATTGCTTTCCTTTCTTTCTTTCTTTTTTTTTTTTTTTTGTGGGCAGGCATATAGACTGTTTTTTAGTTACGCCCCTCCATTAGGAAACAGAGGTCTCTTTGCAAAAGCAATTGTCATGACAGACGTCTGGCAAGGTGGCAGACAGTCTACCCTGTGTGCCACCACACGTCACGAGCCCACACCGCTGCTGAAAGGCAGCAGCTGCCGAGTGCCGAAGGGCAACAAGCCCCCAGACAAGCTGGGGAAAGGGGCTTCATTGCGGTTGATGTCTCAGGTGATGGGACTTCAGAAGCACACCAACCCAATCCTCCAATTCATTTGTGGCCCTCACCTTCCAAAAGCACAATAGTTTCTAGGAGGAAGATTTTCTGTCCTTGGCAACAATTTCTTATCCAAATTGGGCATCAATGAGATTTTTCCCAATAATCCCTGCAGCACTGCTCATTTCTATTTCACTCCCCTTTCCATATTTTTTTTTTCTGGTGGATTAAAAGATCCTGGAGAACAGTCTTATACTGAAATGAGAGACAGCTCAACACAGGCATTAGCACTGCAAGCTCCAAGTCTGGAAATGCCACCTCCAAGGGGATAGGGCACCTCTGTCTTTTGTCTTACGCACAAAGGAAAAGCAGGTTGTGCTAAATACTGGTTTGATAGTGGTGCTTCTCTAGATGAACAAGTGAGTAGACTGCGAGGAAAGGGAAATTATATTACCTCTGCATCATGCCCTGGTGAAACGTGCTTTGGAAGGTTAAATGTATTTCTGGTACATTGTTAACTGGATGATGATAACTTGGAACGGGTGCAGGGAAGAGCAATATAAATGATCCAAGGGCTGGAAAAAACTAGGAAGGAGATTTAGAGAACTCAATCTGTTTCGCTTATTAAAAATAAGATCAAGGGGATGAGTGTAGTGTAATGTATAGGACTCTTCCTGGTTAGAAAATGGGTATTAAAATGGTTCTGTGATTTAATGGAGAAAAGAATAATAAGAACAAATGTCTGAAGTCAAAGCCAAAGAAAATTCAAACGGGAAATATAAGCTTTTTTTTTTTTGTTAACGCTAGGGATGATTAACCACTGGAACAAACTACAAAGAGAAGCGGTGGATTCTCTATCACTTTCATTTCTAATGACTTCATTTTTTTCTTCTCAAAAAGGACAAATGCAAACATTTTCCATCAGCTATTTCCATTAGATGATTTGAACTAAGTTCAAGTCTGACATGATATGAATTCTCCTACTGGACCAGCCATTGCCACAATGAATTTCCATCTCTGTTGTGGCAAATCTGTCGTTTCCTCAATTTAGCCATGGACAAGTAAAGAGACATAAATCATAAATGGTGCAAATTCCCATGGATTATTTCTGACAGTGAAGGACTTGTCTGGTGAAGAATAAAGCTCGATCAGGAGTGACATTGTCAGGGGCGTGTTGGACGCTCTTCCCTTCTTCCTCAAATGCTGGAAAGAGAAACTCACCCTTGCTGAGGCAGCACGCTTGGTGCTCAGAGAGAAAAGGCAGTTTTGGAAATTCGAAGGCCCAAGAATGGGACCCAGATGTTCCAGGTGTTGTTGTTCTTAGCGATAATGAGTTGCACATGCCTGGCACTCCCTGCCAACACTGATGTTCCCAAGAATGTCTCAGAGAGGAACTTGTTAACTCCCTTGTGCAGGTGAAGGCAGAGATGCACAGGTCCATCCCGATGGTGACTGAACAGCCTGGGCTTTGTTGTGCTGGGGATCTCCCAGTCCCACTGAAGTCAGCTGAAACTGCTGGTGCTCAGCTCCCCAAGAAAGCAGGGATGACATGTTTGGCATTTGCTCTCACGCAGGGAGGGCACTGAGCATCAGTGGGCCCTTTTGAAAGTTTTGGCCAGAGTAATACCAGAACAAGGACCAAGATGGGAATGGGAACCTAGGAGTCTCAGAAACTAGTTTTCTGCTCTAGTCACCAAACTCTGCTCTTAGAGAGAGAGCTCCATCACGTCATAATGTGATAAAAATGTAAGAAAGAGAAATTCTACTGAATATCTTTTGTTTACTGTCTTCTGATATCAACACATTTACTTGCAAGGTCTTGCTGGGTGACCTAGGAAGGAAGTACTTGCAGGTGTGTGGTTTTTCCTTGACAATAAAAGAGCAGCTGAAATTCAGGTTGCATGAACGCTGCAGAGCAAGGGAAAACCAGCCTTATGTGAGCATATACAGTAACAGGATTTTAAATACCTTCAAGAAGGGGGTCTTAGTGTTTAGTAGCTGCCAAAAAAGGAAATCAAATGATAGGGATGGCTAGAAAAGAGAAAACGGGCCACGGAATGGCATCATGCCATTGTATAAACTGGCATTCATTCTTATCTTTGCTGTGGCGTGCAGTTCTGGTCTCTCCATCCCAAAGGTGTGGAGGAACAAACGAGTGTGGCATGTAGATGAACTTCTGATTGTGAAAGAGCTAACTGGATGGGGACTGGAAAAGCTGTGATGAGGGAAGGGTATGACAAACAGTGACGGCACAGAGGAGACAGTGACAGAGCATGAGAATTAGAGGCCGTTAAGCAAAACTAACTGGTAGTGGCACGAAAACAACTTTCCCCCAGTTGTTGTTTTCAAAAGTTTGTGTGCAGGTAAACAAGGGCCAGGGCCAGATGACAGGAGTGGAGCCTCTTTTTTTGCATTATGGGTACAAGTTAACTCACTGGCTCCAAGCTCACTGCACGTGGGGCAGCAAATGCTGGGTCCTAGTGACAGAGGGATGCTCAGCATTGCAGGAATGTTTGGGTCAGTGGGGTTTCTAGGAGCTAAGGCTCCCTGTGCACCCAGAGAGAGAAGGATCTGGGTTTTGACCACATTTGCTCTTACTTAAGGGATTCTCTGTCACGTGATGAAAGGAAAACCAGCCAAAAACTTCTCAAGTCAGGTCCATTATTAGGGGGCTGCAGAGCAAACCTCTCTACTGCCTGGTCTGGTGAGGAGTGGTCACTCCGGCTCTATGCTCCATCCACATCCCAGTATCTCTGCTGAAAGTCCCCACAGCTCCTCTGGTGGCACCAGGCAAGAAGGGAACTGCAGCCCATTGCAGAGATGTGGCAGCAAGGACACATCTGCAGTGTTGGGGGAATTCCTGGCTACGGTTCCCGAACTCATCCATGTCAGGCGTAGAGGACTCCTCTGGGGACCAGGGACGAAAGAGGTGCTGTGATTCCGGGTTTGAGAGTTGAATTTCTGCTGAATTCAGCTGACAGAGGAGGCACTAACAAGAATTGCTCTCATGCACTTTATCAGCCTGTCAGCACAGCAGCATGGGGGTTTCAGATGCTCACTTCTGAATGAAAAATCTTTTATGCCCCAGAAAGAATATGCTTTTTGTAAAACCCCCTTTGCTTCATATAACTCGTTAGCTGAAAAATATTCAGAATTATTTCTTCTTAGAGATGCTAAGGCACATTCTGTCCTGAACCATCTCCTAGATGATCTTCAGTATTCTATTTTCATGAGCCACCCTGATCAAACCAGCCATCGCCCTCCTGCCGTCAGCAGCCGAATGCCAACATCGCAGCACACGGAGCTGTTGTTATCAGAGCTGGGGAAGGATGGTGCCAATTAGTGAGACTCAAAGGTAAATCATGAGTGATCTACACAAGGCTCTGCTTACTGAACACCCTGCAGTCCTATCTAGAAACCTGCAGCAGCAGTAGAAGGGAATAAAATCAAGGAATTTCTCAACAGAGTTGTAATTTATTAGCATAGGCTGAACCCCTTAACTTGTTCAAGACTGAGTCTTGTATATTCTGATGCAGGGTGATCACCCGCTTGTCTCATAAAGGCCCAAGGTGAGTGGAGGAGGAAAGCACATCTCTGCACCTGGGAAGGTCACGATCTCAGCTCTGGGCAGCCCTGTCCATGAGTATTAATCAGGCTGTAGGTGAGATTCCCCTGTGCTCCTCCAACATCTGCTCTCGGCTCTCCTCCCCCAGGTGCTCATTTTGATGTCTCTCAGGCTAGAATTTTCCCCGATGCTTGTGATAGCTCTTCTCCACCTATATCCAAATTCACAGATTTGCAGAGGAATTGCATATGTACCATCCGCATCCTGGTGAGGAAAGTCTCTACTGCCCAGCTCAGCTGGCTTTGGGGGGTGTTGGCTTCGCAGCTTGGTGCCTGAGTCTGCAGCAGGGAAACGTCCCTGGCAGGGGCACAGAAAGAGCATGGGGTGACTTTCCACTGCCTGCTGCTGACAAGGGTATGCATGGAGGCATGGGAGAGATTTATGGAGCCAGTTCTGCCAAACACTTGCAATCCCACAAAAATTTAGCATCGTGTCCCACAGTGCCTGGCAGGATCGCACATATGTTCCCTTCCAATTGTCTGTGGTAGGACATTATTCTCTCCCTTGTGACCTAATGGTCAACGACTTTTATTTCTTGAGCTTGCATGTTTAATTAAGGAATTGCTTCTCACCCAAAGCATGGGATAAGCTAGAATGAAAGCAGCATGTTCTTGAGACTGAAATAAAACCCCAAATGTCAGCTCACCCGCTGTGCTAGCTATTAAAGCTGAATGAAGTGGTTGCATTATGATGGTCATGGGATGCCTTGTAGAATGAACACTATTGTGGGTGAAAACTACTTATTTGACATTTCTCAAGCTGCTTTTAGCATTTCTCCTAAATAAGCCTTTATGCTTTGTCTAAACAGCTGAAGTTGATGGTTAATAAAACTCTGGACTCTGCTTTGTCCAAGCACTTTTTATGCTAGATAGCCTCAGTAAACACTTTAAATTTTGACAGGGAAATAATTGCTAAACTTTCACTGAGGCACCACATGCTGAGGTTACTTAACACGCTGGTATCAGTACATATTGCCAAACTGAAATGTGGCATTTCACATAAATGTTGGCAATCACACCTGACCTGATAGTCAACCCCCAAAAAGTAACAACCAGCCGATTTGCACGTGTAAACGTCCTTTTAAAAGCTGGATAATACACAAGGCTCAACTGATGGAAAGGATGTACCTTCCAGCGTCACTGCCAAAGACATCGCTTTGCTTTCTGAGCACAGGCTGCAGAGGGTTTTAGGGTCTCGCTGCTGGTGGAGCAGATGCTTCCCTCCCAGGGCAGATCCCTTCTGGGAGCAGCATCGCTCTCTGCATTGCTCTGAGCGCTCTCAGTAAAATGTTGGTAATGCAAACTGGACAGCAACTGGGGCTGTGATCGCTGCAAAGAACAGTTATCTGCTTTTATCATCATCATCATCATCACCATGGCTAGGCTTCGCGAATGAAGATAAGGGACAATTATCATAAAGTCACACAGATAAGCATGCACAGGCTTGGACAAGGTGCTGAGGTCAGACCTTTTGTTCAAAATTTTCACAAACACAAGAGTGAAGCTTTTTGGTGCTTGAATCTTCAGGGAACAACAACAACAACAAAAATCTACTTTTTGTTTCCAGGTACTGATTTTTTTGAAAATGCAAAGCATTTTTTTTTTAATTATACTGCTGAGCTCTTAGGCTCTTCAGTGAAAAATGGAGAAAACATGGCCAAAAAATATTAAATCGAAAGAAGCAATTTTAACAACTCACATCAAACAGTGGGGATTCCTTGACTCTTGTGAACGAAACCTCTGCCTGCCACCCCAGCAGAAAAAAAATCTGCTTCTGTTGAGTGACCACCGGGTCCTCCCATGGGAGGACCTGGTTTGCTGGGCACGGTCAGCACCTTGTCCCAGCTGGAGGATGCCGCGACTGCGAGGGAGTAACAAGCAGAGAAGGCTTACAGCACCACGAGGCTGCTGAGGTTCTGGAAGGCGTAATCGGGGATGTGCCAGATCTGGTTGAGGGCCAGGGTCATGGCTTGCAGCGCCGGCAGGTGGTTCAGAGCTTGGACAGGGATCTCGGTCAGGGCGTTATCGTCCAGCCACAGGTGACGCAGCGAGAGCAGCCCCTCAAAGCTCTTCTCGGGCACCACGGAGATAAGGTTCGCATCCAGGCGTCTGAGTGGGAAAGAAACAGGGTGGGGATAAGCGAGAGACGGATGGAGCGTTGCTTTGCGTGCCTGCAGTGTTACGCAAAGGGAGTTTTGATGCCGAGGCGGGAGGGGTTGATGGCCAGGGAGATTGGATTAGGCTGTAAATAGTCATTAGCATAAGGAGGTCCTGGTGCACGGCTGCTGCCTGCGCTTGGAGCTGTTTGACCGCAATGAGGACGAACCCTTCTTGATGGCCGTTTAGTGCTGCCAGCTGATGGCAGCTTCTTAAACACAGTGGTTGGGCTAAGTCCTTGCACGTGGACCCGCCAGACGGACAGTGGCCAGCTGTGGCTTGCAGTCACCCCCCCCTTAAAAATGAGCATCAAAGCTGCATCCCCTGGGGCCGGGCTTGCCATGGACCTGCCTGAGCCCATCTGCGTAGGCACAGCCCTATTTGGGGTACCCCGCAGCCCGCTCAGCCCCACTGATGTGCAGGACAGCCAAACCATGTGGCCAAAGCCCCATTCCAGAAGAAAAGGATTTGTCTGGAAATGCAAAACCTGTGGCAGCCCTGCTTGGGGTCCTGCGTTTGATCCAAACAGCCAGAACTACCTGCAAAAGCACCGCCAACAAGTCAGACCATATGTCATGGCACAGGAATTAAGCCAGTGATCTCGGTATCGCACATGTTCAGGCCTTTCTTTCTCCTTGATTTGCCAATTGCTTTTTTTTTTTTTTTTTTAATCATCTTGGAAACCTTAAGGCGGTTGAATTTGAGGTTTAATTTGGTGAGAAACTTTAATTTTTTAAACATGTTTTTGTTCCAGAATAGAATGAGAAGCTAAAAAATACTGAGTTTATTATGAAAAAAAGTTAAAAAACTATATTTGGAAATCATCTTTTTTAGAGATCTCCCATTTCAACAATGGTGAGCAGGATATAATGTGTTATCTGTAGATTTTAAAATCCAAATAAAAGAGGAAAACACTACAGATTTGGATGGAATACCAGGAATCAATTATACCAAGGAGAAAGCAAATTCCAATTTCCATCCACAACCAACAAAGCTTGTTTTATTTTTCCAATCTATCAAAAGGAAAGATCTCTGAACTCAAATTGCAAAGGGAAAACACTTTGTCCCTTATCAAAGCATGAGAGAAGGAAGTTAATAGAACCCTCACGGCCCAGCCCTCAAATCAACAATCCTCCATAAAGGAATGTAGTAGAGAAATTATCATTTTTGAGTACATTAAATGATATTTTTGCTTACAGACAGACACTGGAGCGGACCTTAAGATAGTGTTACCCTCCACCCTGGCACCAGACCCTTGTCCAAAGAGCACAGACAACATTTCCAAGTTCATAAACCACCTCCCAGCACCCTGCAATAGACTTCTACTCTGCGGGAGGAGACCAAATGCCCCATCGTTTCCCCGGAGCGAGGGGGACACCGTGTGCAAGCCATGGTCTCTGCAGTGAGGTGAGGGTAGTAATTTCCAGGTGAAATCCTCTGATGATCCCACGAAACAGATCTCCTGTGTCACAGAGGGGAGCCTGTTCTGCACTTCCTGGCGAGCTGGCAGGACAAAGCTGATCAAGAAGTGCAGCCAAACCTTCCTGAGAAGTCCCTCGGACAAGTGTCCTTTAAATGCAGCGTACAAGTCTTGATACAACACCACTTCAAACTGAAACGATACCCCGAGGTGGATTGAATAACTATGTCATCGCGCCCATTTTTCCCCATTGCCGTAGGATTGTGTTGCAAGAGCAGCGTGTTCTGGTGAGAGGCTGTTCAGCTGGGAGTTCTTCAGCCAGCTCTCGATTCCTCTGTGGATGACAAGAGCACGCGGCACCCAAGGCTCAGCTCAGTTGCCACAGAATTTGCATCTTTGCTCATGGGGCTGGCACAAGACAGTGTATATTTTCCTCTTGAAGAATGTGGGCATGTTGCAAGTTCTGCCTCAATTTACCTCCTGTCACCAAGACTACACACAAATCGGAGCATGGCATCATTCATCTTCCCAAGAAGGCAAACCCAAAGCATGAAGAACAGAAAAGCAAACCCTGCAGCAGCTCAGGGTAAGATTAAAGACTACTTCAAAATTTTCATCAAAATGTTTTGGGACAAACAAGAACTTTTTAACCAATATTAAAACTTGTGCGGTAAATGTTAATCTTTGCTTAATTTTTCCATTCCTTCTTCAGCATAAGAACTCTGTTAGTTTTTGGCATCATAATCTGTTTTTTAAAAAAAAAAAGTACTGCTTACTTTTCTCAGAGATATTCTTTCATCCAAATCCTTATATGTTTACTGAAAATGGTTTTAAAATGAATGCTCTGTTTCAAGTTCGACTAGTTAAAGAACAGACAGTGAAAATATCCGCTGAGAATCATTATAATCGTTCAAAACCAAATTAAGCTTTCAGAAATGGAGACACTATGACAGAGCCAAGAGTTGGTACCCTGAGAAAGGGAATGATTCCTGGCCAAGGAGTGAGGTGGACCCCACGGCTGGCCAGCTTTATGTCCCACTTTGGTCATGAACCCCTGGGCGAAGCCACAAAGGAGTTTGGCTTCAGTGTGACAGTGCCCCAGGTGTCAGGGAAACCATTGCTGTTGATGGATTTGCACCACGGCTATTTAGCATGTGCTCAGGAAAGGCACTTTTTGACATCCATGGTCTGCAGGCACGAGAGAAGTGCCAGTGAGGTATCACGGGTCCTTGGTGGATTTTTTTGAGGTACTCGGACAATCCCCTGTCATTGCGGACCCCAATGGTTAGTACAAGGGCAATAATTGAGATTTGTTTAAGGAGTTTGTTGACCCTCCTGATGGCCACTAGCTACGGACATGCTGCAGCTCCAAGCCGGGCACTGCTCCACACCCTGACACCAACGAGAGGTCAGCTCTGTAGGACTCAGTTGAACCCCAAGTCTTATGTTCCTTCACCTCTGCAGAAGCTGCCTGGTGGCAGTGTGGTGTGTAGTGATGACTGTGGCCACCCTGCACGAGACACTATCTAGAGAGCAGCATGCTCGGGAGGTGTTGATGGGCTCCAGCTGCATAATTGCTGCCCTAATCTGTGCAGGGTGTAAAAATCAGACCCCAGCCAGACTCCTTGTTGGAGTAGAAAGAGAGACTTTTTGCCAGTTGCAATGACCGGGACAAGGGCCTGAGCAACCTCAGAAACAGCAGCCTGCTTGGACCACAGCACAGCAAGCCATGTGGAGCTAGTGAAGTTAAAATTAGGAACAAGGAAGTGTTCAGGGTGAAGGCATTTCACATGCGGCGTGACAGGCAGGATTCCTTATGTGCCTTTGCAGCATCGACAAGGGAGCGGGGAACATGGACTAAGGGGTGGCTGTGTTCCTGGTGCCAAAAGGTCTCCAGGTTGTTTAATTACTCCTCAGGGAGTTGCTGGCTCTTTCTGGAATAGAGGTGCATTCTTTCTAATAAAAGTTGTGCGTGTGGGGATTGCTAATTGCTATGGCTTTCAGACAGCTCTCCACTCTCTTCTGGAAGGAGAAAAGCTGAAGTTCTTGGCACAGAGATGTTAGTAATTATATCAATTATAGTAAACAAAAACCAACCCAACAGTTCTCTCCTTTCTTCAGTGTGTGACTCTGGCTCCGTAAGTGTTTTGTGTTATGATTTATACCTAAGATAATTGGGCCGATTAGTGGGTAAATGGGACAGCACAGGCTGGGGCTGGCTCCTCACCTTCCACGGAGATGTTTTAATCTTTATTTCACCAAATCACTCAGTTGGTTTTCCTTGCAAGCGTTAACCCATTTGTTGCTTACAGGGGAAGATGCCTCTTTCATGAGGCTGCTGGATGGCTTAGAAGTGGGATTTCATCTCATGCCCGCTGTCGAGCAATGCTCTGAGTCTGGAGAGTGAATGACACACAGTGGTCTCCAGATGTCTGCATGGACAAGATTTCCAAGTGACTTCACAGGCCAAGCAAGCACTGCAGAGCATTGTCCCATCCGTTGCAGGCAAATGGAGCTGGTTTAAAGTGAGACATTCAAGAACAACAGCATGAGAAAATCACCAGCTGCTTGAAAGTCTCAGCTTCTGGCTTTAGATCTGTGTCGAGAGCTGATATCTATTTACACCAATTCAATATGACAGCCAGAAGTCTTAAAAGTCCCCGAAATCACCTGAGATTTTACTCCATTTTCTCTCTTAGCCACTACAAGGATGGGGAGAGGGAGCTGCCTAGGAGGAGCATCACAAGTCCCTTGGCTTTTGGTCTGAGGCATTGCCTATGTCATCTTTGTTCCCTGAGCACAGGTCCATGTCTGTGCTGAGCCATGGTGAGAGAAGCAGGTCAGGACCAAAGTCTGAGCCCCACCAGCTGGTGCCTTCGCTTGCTCCTGTAGCCAGTAGCAGCTCTGGGGAGCCAAAGGGACCTGTGTGGGGTGGAAAAGGGAAGTCTTTCCTTGGGCAGGACAGTGTCAGGTAGGTTTTCTGTGAGTGCCGGGATAAGAGTCCAGTATGCCTTTGAAGACCATTTCATTCCTTTGAGCACTGTCTGTATTTGATAAAATTTGGAGGAGGAATTGCCTGCAGTCTTGCCAGGAACAGTCCAGAGATGATGCTTGGATCAAAAGCAGTCCTAGAAGCAACCAAGCAGTAAGGAAGCCCTTTTCTAATAAGAAAAGGTCAAGAGTGGGACAGTCCTCCTTCCCAGTGTGCAGATGATGCGATCAGTGAAGCCACCAGAAGGTCCAGGTAGTGGTGGTGGGGACTCGGTGCAGTTGCCTATGCAGAGAGCATGCCATAAGTATTGTATTAATCCTGACAGATCAAGCTATAATCTGAGATCTTCGGTTTCCTGTACTGCAGAACCAGCAGTTTCTAAGAATTGTCTTGTTCCAAGAACTGCTTTCAGGGTATTTCAGAGGATGTACAAGTGTATTTCCTAGACATGTGTAAGCACATGCATCCCGCTGCCTGTAACATGACCGGCAGAAGTGCGCAGCAGTGGATAACCAGAAACAGTCTCTCTGTTTCCTAACA